CATAGAACAATGGGAATGTGAAGAATTGAGGAACTAAGTTCTAAGTATATGACAAATTTTCTGACTCATTAATCACAAAAAACAAAAAATATCGATCATCAGTGCAGATTACCAATGACATACAAGGCAATGAACATTCCCAGAGAGCTCTTTCCAGGGTTTATCAGAGCCAAATCAAACAAATGAATCAAGCAAACAAACCATTTCCCATTTGAAGCAATTCATGAAGGTATATAACTAAGTCATCCTTATTCTCTCATTCTTACTAAGATATAAATAAACGAGCACAGAAACAAGAAGACAAGAAAAGTGCAGATTATGGAAGCAAACAAACCAGGAATAAGGGACAATATTGGACTTGGCAGAGGGTTGTGGTGGTGGAAAAACAAGTTTTTATTGCAATGCAAGAAAAGCATAAATAGAAAAAAATGGGAAATTAATGTGCATGCATGGTTAGGGGTTCACTCTCTTGAACAGTACATCGAATGACATCCCAACCAAATTGACACAGCTGTTTGATCTTTTGGAGGATCAACAGTCAGTATCCTGGAGCAAAAAGTTACAAAGGAAAAGGACCAGGAGTTTCTCATGACACCAAGGTTAGGTAGTTTTTCCAATCAACAAGCTCTCTTTAGGATATAAAAACAAAATTGTCAGGGCCTGGTTGGCTGATTGCAGAAGCCATACATAATTTATGATCAGTTTGGTCTGGCTCATTTTCAGTATCTTTTTTCTCTCATCTCTAAGTCATATCCTTACAATTCACATACATGACTTGCAGTCATATCCTTTACAATTCACATACATGACTTGCGTGGATTAAAAATAAATTAATGGTCCCGGCGAGGCTCGAACTCGCGACCTTCGGCTCATAAGACCAACGCTCTAACCAACTGAGCTACGGGACCCTTGCTACCTATAATTCTTTATCAAAATATAGCTGGCTTACTATTCTAAATTACAAACTAAGGTATTTAATTTCAAGTTAAGGTCAATTCTAACAATATACTATTTGAGTAATTTGTGATCCTAATTAATAATTAGATTCTTTTTCATAGAATTTATTTGATAAAATTATAGTGATATTGCTATCTATGATATTTCACATTTAGTTATTGACTAGTATTTTGCCAAATACAATCATCATACTTGAGTTAAGTCATACTCAACCTTGTTAGTTATTATCTTGATATATGTTCAACTCATAATTTGGTATCATCCATAAAATATAGTCCACTAGATTCAATAATTAGTCTTCATTCTTTTCAAAGGGTTTTTCATTTTCTTATTACATATATATATATATATATATATATATATACACATATATCCATTGTTTGTCTATTTCATGAACATAGAAATGTGTTGATATCTCAAGTCAAATAAAAAAGGTTTTAGTCCAAGTTTCTGTAGCCCCTTTTTTCCCCAGCAAAAAGTACCTAGTTTTGAGTTCCCTTAACTTGCAAGGCTCATCAAAAGTAGCCCATCTCCAACATTCATCTAAGTTTTGGATTGATCCTACCTCTAGGTTGGATCAACTTCAATGAAGAAACACCTTTACAAATCACCTCCTTTACTTTCCAGTCATCCTTTAGCATTTGTATTTCTTTCCCTTTTCTTTCGGCAATTAATGATACGATTAATATTTGATACACTAACAGGATCAAATTATCAAATTTTAATATTTTATTAATAAAGTATTATTTTGAAGAAAATAAAAAGTTGATATGGTCTCAATACAGCACCAAATTTTAGTATTAATGTTTTATTTTTTAAAAATAATATCTAATTAATGAAATATTAAGATTTATTGTATAGAATAGTATCAAATATTTTCTCTTAAGGATAATCTTGGAGTCTAGGTGTGGAAACATTAGGTGAGCCCTGGGCCCTTTCCTTGCTGAAGATGCGACCATGACTCAACCTGACAGCCCACAATTTGGGTTATGATGAAACTTGCAGTGACAATTCTTATGCAAGAAAGATGGGTCAGAGAGGACAAATGGCTTCTTTGATAAATTCCTTTGATTGAGGCTTTGCCCAGAGCTTGCATGAACTAACAAATGAACAATTTCTGAATTTAGGTTTTATACAACTGAAACTCACTTTCTATGATTAATCTCTTTTCTAATTGTAGCTAGCCAAGGTTCTAGAGCCTGTATTGATACGTGTGTTACATTAAGCACTTCAGAAATGAAGTAGATAAAATATTTTCTAAAATCTTACATTAAGCAAGTAGAAGGGTTCTTGGATGACTTACATTAAGCAATTTTTTTAATAAATTAATAATAATAAAATTTTTTAAAAAATATGTGTATGTACTTATCTACATAACGAACACGTAATATATAATAAAACTCACAACCGACAAAGATTATGTATTATTGAGAAACTTCCATTTCTTTAAGTGGCCATGCGACAACGTTGATCTTGAGATATCATATTTTTGTCACTTATTACGAACTACATCAACTTGTTGTCCCCTAAACGCGATCCAACCTAGCTTATAACTTCATAATAAATGAATATATTTTTATTTCATTTATATATTTACTTTATTCGAATACTCCATTATTCAGGAATCAGTGTCAATTATATTGAATTTGAAAATAGTTTATATCCTAGGCTAATGAGGTCACTCTTGGAAGCTTGATTCCACGTGACATCACAAAGATTACACAACAATGTCATTAATTTCTCCAAGTTTAGTTTCAGAACTTTCATCAGATCGAATTCTAATTTCATTACAATAATCAGATTATAAGACCGGAGAGAGTTATTTATTTTTTTAATTTTTAAATACATGTGGTATTAAATTACATAATAAGTGATAATCATCATTTTTTTTTATAAATTAGTACCCAATCAATCTCAAGAGTTTAAACTCGATATTTCCGAATAATTTTTTTTTGTTTTAATCGTTGGAATAAGTTAAAAAAAAAAGAAATTGAAGATTCCCCACTCCCTTAAATACTTCAATGTCTTTAATACTCCAATGTTTTGATTAATTATAGTATGAAAATGTACTCGATAGGCCCACAAAATTAATGTACTTTTAAAGCTCAAGGGGGCCTAGACACCCTCTATTATTGTTGAAACTTTGAAGTCCTCAACTGATCACATACACTTTGCCATTTTTCCATCAAAAAGATAATAATGAATCCAGGAGAACTCATAGTTCATATACAAGCAACAACAAGAGAATAAACGAAAGAAAAACAGGAATGAAATATGCTGAAAGAGAATCTTACTGATAGATGCCCCAAATGGGGACCTTATATTTTGCATATCTAACAAGATCTTGGCATGTTGTATGACAAGAAGGATGGTGTCATGATCCATGGAAATAAGTGTTTCCACTATACCTCAAAGGATATGGTGGGATTGGTTTATTGAAGACAAAAATTTTGCTTTCTTTACAATAAGTTAGAGATGGTTTGTTGTGGCTAAGGTGGGTCCTAAATGGAAAGGTAGAGATAGGATTTGCTCATTGGCATAAACAGAAGGCAATAATAAAGAGGATTCAAGTTTCTATCTATATCTTGAATTCTCAACTTGTGAGAATTTGTCTATCTTTCTGTTGGCTTTCTCTTTCATTGAATGTAAAGTTTTCCCATTTTAGAAAAATTTTAACAATTTTGGGTTATAATAGAAGTCATTAATAAGGGATAAAGTTTTCCTTTATTAGTAAAAATTTCAAAATTTTTGGGTATAATAGAAGTTCCCTAACATGGGATAATTTTGGGTTAGGGTGATCATTTGATACATAAGTTGTTGGGTTACACCTTATAATGTTTAATTTGGAATTATATTTTCATATCTTTTGAGTGCCATGAGATATCAAACTTAATTTTTGTCATGAACAATTATACATAATATTGCATTATAAAGCATGAGTTTGATAAAAAGAAACATTGGCTTCATTGCTGTTTTATCCAATTAGTTTTAAATTATAAGACCCAATGTGAAGTTTCTTACCTGCAACTAATTAGATCCCCTATAAAAAAATTATTACATTAATCATGGTTAAAATTTGACAATTAATTTGAGTCATCAATTTCAATGCATTTTTTCATTTAGTTAAGAATATACATATATATATATATATGGATAAATAAATTCATTAATATGAATAAAAAAGAATCCCTTTACAGCATGGAACTGACATTTATAAAACTAGATATGTTCACATGAAAAACTCCAATTTTACTTATATTTTTAAGAAGATTTCCACTTCCTAAGCTAATTCCTTTGGTGTCATGGAGTGGGTGAGTCTAATTGTCCATTTGGTTGGTGGACCTCAAGAACCTAATCAAAACAAACCCCATCATTCAAACTAAGAAAATCTATGCCTAACTCAAGCTAAAGAAAAGCAATGGAAACCCAATTCCATCTTCACCTTTGTAATCCAAATGTCAACAACATCCTTTGTTAAGGAAAAAGGAAAAAAATTGAAAGATGGAAAAACAATTCCAAGCCCTCAAGCCATTTTGTAATTGTAAAAGAAAAAGTTTGATTCCTTTATTCAACTTTGATATGAATTATTGATTGGGGAATATACAAGTAATATGTTGACAGCCAAAACTCAGAGTATGTGCTAAGTGAAAATCCCCAAGTGGGCAAAGTACTTGAAAGGGAAGGGGGCAATGAATAGGTTGTGAATTCCATGCATGTGTTGGGGAACAAAGTAAGGGTCCCACAATTAGGTCCAAAAGTTGCAAAGCCAGCAGGAGATACTCCTCACAAAAAATGAAACAAACAAAGCTAAGGTGACATTGCCAAGTGACATTGGAACTTACCTTCTTTTAGGACTTGGCAAAACATAATTTGAGAGAGAGAGAGAGAGAAAGAAAGCTGAAAGAGAGGGAGAGGGAGAGGAAGAGAGGGTGTAGGAATGAAAAGAGGAAGAGTGGAGCGAGGATATGGGCGAGAAATGAGAGAGAAAAATATATTCATAGTAAGCTAAAGATTTGCATGGTTTTGAATTTAGAGAAAAGGAAAAGAGAAAAGAATGAATATACATAAAGGTTTTTAGTATATATTTTGCTTTTGATCTGATCTGTCTCTCAGACAGACTAGGCTTTTGAGAAAAAATCTGAAACCTCTCGGATATAGTGATCTTCCCTTTCCACTATTTTAGCTGAAAACTTGGCTAGGCTTTTGGGTTTGTTCTCTTGACTTCCAAAATCTGCGAGATTTTGGGTATCTTTTTTCTAAACTTTGTTGGTTCCTTCCTGCATACTTTCTCTAGATTTTCCACTTGTTATCCTTAATATTTTGATTTCAAAATCCTTGTTTCTTGATTTCAAAGATCTCTTCTTCTTCTTCTTCTTCTTCGTCTTCTTCTTCTCTCTCTGTCTCTCTCTCTCTCTCTCTCTCTCTCTCTAAATCTCTTTAAAAACAAGTGAGAACCACCAGCAGAAAGTGTTATATATAAATAGTAACATGCATGAGAACCAGGGGAGGGAATTCTTAACATCTTGTCCATGACAAGTTTTAGGATTTGGGTGTTTCTCTAAAGCTTTATATCTTGGGTTTTCTCTACAAATTTGTAGTTTGAAACTTTTGTGCCTGCGTGGGTGTGTGTGTGTAGATATATGGAAGGTCAGCAGAATGGCTCAAGAAGATCAATCCCAAAGGTGTAGCAATAGTAATACTAGCAGTGGTGGTGGGTTTGGAAACAGTGTTGGCAGATCTTCCAAAAAGCAAAAGCCTAAAAGGGTTCCGCAAAGAGGACTTGGTGTGGCACAGCTTGAGAAGATAAGACTAGAAGAACAACAAAAGAAAGATGCAGCGGTAGCTGCTGCAGCAGCGATTTTGCCATCACCATCATCATCTGTTATATCGCAACCAACTCATCATAAATCAGCATCCTATCTTTCTTTGCCAATCCCGAGTAATTTCCATCCTTCAAATCAATCTTCTTATTCTTCATCTTCTTCTTCAATTCCGTTTCGTGCTGATCTTTCACCACCAAATTCAATCTTTAGGCCACCTTTGTCTGTTCAAAATGCTGATGTTGTCAGTGCAAACACTGTTCCATTGACCACTGGTTCTCCTCCAGGGTGGCATCCTGGAGGAGGAGTAGTACTTCCACGAAATGGCAGTGTTAATAGTGGTCATAAATTGTGGAGTTCTTGTGAGTATAACATTGAAAGGGAGTATTCTGGGTTGGATCCAGGATTGGCTTTCAGGGCAAATTTGAGTTTGCCTTATGAATCTGAACCCATCTGGCCTCCGCATGGTTTGATGCAAAGGGCACAACCATTTCAACAACCTTCTTCTTCAATGGTAGGAAATTGATATTCTGTTCTAAAAATTGGTTTCTTTTGTTTCTCGGAAAATGTTTTCCTTTCTGCTGTTGTAGAGAATTATGGTGAATTAATGGATTTTTCCTTTTTATGCAGGTGAATTTGTCGTCAAGAACTTCATCAACATCCGTACTGAATTATCAGATGGAGCCCCCTTCAAACCAAAGCTATTATGGAAATTGTACACCTTTATTGCCTGAAGAGGAGAAGGTATATGTTCAAATTTCCTTTCAAAATCTTCAATCATATATAGCCTCTTATCAATCCAATGGTAAATTCGAGTTTAAAATATCCCTTTCAATTTGTTTTAGTATATGATTTTAGCTTGGGAAATTCATGTGATTACTTCTGGTGATTTTTAGGTTGAATTTTACACCATTTTCCCTCTTTTTTTTTTTTTTTTGTCTTTTTTGAAATGTAGACGCCTCTAAACATCACTTTTCATAGTGAGAAAATTGACTACTCCACATTCAAAAGCAAAAAGGAAAAAAAAAACTTGATTTAGCAGTTAAACAAGAGATGAATAAAGAATTAGGTTTCCTTTCATTTTCGTTCTTTTTTAGAAATCTTGGGAATGCAGCATTCTTTCTCTTTTAGACCTTGATGTCATGTAATTGTAACTAGGTTGCTTTTTTGTGCTTGTGAATTTGGTTACAATAAACTGCAGATGGTTGGCATGAAGAGATCATATCCCTTCTCTCTGGACAATGCTCCAGGCCCCCCTCTCCACAGCAAATATCCTCCCATTGTTCATCCCATCCATGGACACGTTGAAGCTGCTTCAAGTAGCAACGGTAGCACATTCAATTTCGAACCCGGCACCCCAAATTTCAGGTTTGATCTTAATTTTCCATCTCTTATACGTAATGAAAATTGGGGTCTAATAAGATTTGATTCCAGACTTCTCCTTATACCTCCTCATACTAAAAAACAAACCTCTAATTTGATCCTAAGTGAGTTCCACCATCTACGGTCTGGGGAGTCTAGAAGCGTACTAAGATTGGACAGTATCGTTACGTTTTTCTTGCATCATTTTCAGGGAAGGGCCCTCATGCTCAACCTCGAACTTTGAGTCAAAGTCCAAGAAGAGTATCAGACAGAATGGTACCTTGGATGGAGATTTCCTCACATTAGCCCCTCCCACCACAACTACTTCAATGTGTTCAAGCTCAAAATTCAAGCACCTTCCACCCAGTTTAATCTATTACAATTGTGCATTTCCCGACCTCGGGTCATTAGCTCATCAGGTGAGCTTAAACAACAATCTCTCCATCTCCATTTCCGTTGAACTTTATGCTGTTGCTTGATCATTCTTCTTCTTCTTCTTCTTCAATATGCTTATATAATTTCGTAAATGTATTAAAGGGAAGCTTGGAAGATTCAATCATCCGTCAAGGAGGTAGCGGATTAGGTCAGTATCGACCTTACTATTGCTTCTTTCCACCAGCTGCAATGGTGCAAATTGACCGAGCAACTACAATAACCATGGCCAATTGTAATGGTGGAGAAGTAGGAGGACATGTTGATCTCAATTTGAAGCTATAAAATCTCTTGTGCCTATTACTTTTGTATCTTTAGGGGGGCCAAGTTTCTGTTTCCATGAGAACATACCTAGAATCTCATTTTTCTTTCATTTGACTATATCTTAACACATAACCCCCCTGTATGATATGATTGAGCATGAAAAAAAAAAATTCAAATCTTAGACTTTGAGTTATCGAGTTACTGGTTCAAAAGTTGTATACTCTCAACAAGAATTGAATTCCCCATTCATCATAGTATTTTGTATAAATATTTCTTGTGATGATCCGTTTATCATGCGGACTGTTGAATAAGAAATTATTAAGTTGACACATGTTCTTATCATTCATGAACAGATGACAAGGGGAAAGATATGGTGTTACATCTTTGGTGAAGTTCGTAAAAGAAAAATCTTTGATGGAGTTGAAACAAAGGGCATTGTTATGCCTAGTTGCTAGCATTGCTCATGGGGGTTTATGAGGGAATTCCCAATTTCTCCAATTCTTTGTTGTTGCTTTGGTTGGTGAATGGGTCAGGGTACTTGATTGGTAACAAACTATTGCATGTGGGATTTGTGGGGATCTGATTATGCTTTGTCTTGTCTTTGGGAAGATGGGCCCCTCCAATGTGACCCTTCATTATTGTTGCAGATTGGTGACGTCTGCGATGGTCCACACTGGATTGCAGAGATAAATAGAAAAAAAAAATGTATAAAACCATTTTCATAGAGAAAAAATTTTGCTTCATAAAGGCAAATTTGCAATCCACACCCCAATAGTCCAATGATCCTCATTTAGTGTGTGAACGGGAAAAAAGCATTGATTTTCTGATCTTTCGAGTAGTTAATTTTAGTAAAAAAATATTTAAAAGTAGTAATTAATAAATTTATATTAATTAAGATCCGTGATAGAGTAAATTCATGAAATTTTTTATTATAATTCTGCATATGTCTATTAATATTCAAAATGAATTATTTATCTACAAGAATATTTTTTAATAGACATATAAGTTCGACGGATAATGAACTAATGTTTTTGTTAGTTTGATAACATGATCATATTTTTAAAATAATTTTACTTTTTATTAATTTAAAAAATTACTTCTATATAAAATATAATTTTTTTTATTTTTACAATTTCTTTCTCTCTCTACCCAATCATTCTCTCTCCTTCTCTCACTAAATTTTCTTCATGACAGATGACATGACAAGTATCAATTAGACATACTCCGACCGAATTTGACTAGGGAATGCCAAATTGGATATTCTCCGATTAGATTTACCGTGAAAACACCGGATTTGGTACTTTTTAGGCAAATCCAGTCATGAGAATCCTAGATCAGGTACTCCCATAATCAAATTTGATCAAGGAGAACCAAATCTAGCATTCTTGCGATATTGGTTAGATTTGGCCGCAAGGTGGTCGATTAGCCTAAGAGAAAAGAGTGAAGAAAGAAGAAAAGTGGAGAAAGAAGATATTTCACGTTTACCCGTTTGGAGCATATGGTTTATTTCAAATAGATCGATAATTCATGTTTTTATATTTTAGACGTGTTAAACACGATTAGATACCAAACATGTAAAGGTTAAACACGAACATGACACGAATAATATTTATGTCTTAAATCTAAAATATATAAATATATACGTTTAATAATAATATAACACAACATAACACAATTAATACGTTTATTTTACCTATCAATGTACGATAGGACATGATTAATAATACGATTAATACGTTTAACACGATTAAATAAAAATATTTATAATTAAATATAATTTTATTATTTAAATTTAAAATTAATAATTATAAAAACAATTATAACAAAACGAAATAATTATAACATCAAATATAAATGAAAATAATTATTAAAATAGTCGTTGATTATTAATTTTTAACATATTGATAAAGGTATAACATATACACGTTTAAACACAATAACATGATTAATTAAACGTATTTAAATGTGTTTTAAACATGTTATTCATGTTTGACATATTAAGACACGAAAATTTTTATATCTTAAACGTGTCAAATATGATTAAATATGAAACACGTTAAGGTTAAGTTCAAACTTGTTTAATCCAGTGTCTTTTTATATTGTGTTAACGTATTGTATCCAAAATTATCAGATCTAATTTCAAATATTAATGCATGTGAAATTATGATCAAAACTTAAATAAATCAAGATATTTTATTCTTAAATTTAAATAAAGTTACTAGGTGATTTCATGTGAAGTTAAACTCAAATTTGGTATGACTTTGAATATCTCGGAGTTCCAAAATCCAAACTAATTTTCTAAATTAATGTATTAATATGTACCGAAGAGTGTTCATGCTAATAGGAAAGTGATGAAGTAAGACAAGTATTAATGTTACCAACAAACCAAGGCCCTGCAAGATTTGGGTTAAATTGGTGTTCGTGTTCTTGTATTAGGCCTTCAATGTGGCAGCAAGTCAAGTCATAACAATGAATACATTACATCAATGGTTTAGGCCCCTGAATGCCAAATTTAATTACACGAAGACTAGCTTTTTGAAGTCAACATTACAAAGACTTCTAGTGTAGTTAAAAGATAAGGAGAGGCAGTGGTTTCCAGTGCAGCTCTTCTCTCTGCAATATGCAGTTCTCTAGCTTCATAGATTGTTTTCCTTTGATTCCGTGTTTCTGGCATGATCAGCCTCAGCCATCCAAAAAAAAAAAAAACCCGAAGAGCTTTAACTTGCATGATCTTCTTCTTCTTCTCCCATTTCTTGATGTTAATGTTAATTCTTTTTCTCTTCCAGATCTGATGAGAGTAGTGCAGTTTGGACCAGGAAGCAGCATGAGTGAGACCATAGGCACCTGATGTTGTTTGAATTCCAGGTACGAATTTACACTGAATTGTAGTTTCCATAGTAACATCTGCTGCCCTCCATGAACAGATGAACAGAAAAACCATATTCTTATCTAAAGGAAAACAAGACTAGAGTAACCCAAAATTTTTTGCCTTCTTAAACCCAAAATTTTTTGAGCAAATACAAAACTTTTGAAAGATTATATACAAAATTGTGATTTATTTTGGATGATAGAATGCGTTATATTATTTTTATATAGACCAATTACGTTGTAATTGGTTTCACATTTCAATTATTTGTTACTTTAGTGTGAATGGGTGCAAGCTGTGTGGTTTGGCACTGGTCTAGGATAAAAAGTTGATCAAAGGGCAATTACAACCTTTGATCAGTGGTTGAGAAAAGTCCTAGATAAGGAACAAGTGACCGGCAAAGAGAAGATATTGTTAGCTACAACTGTGCCTTTCACTTGTTGGAATATTTGGAAAGCTAGTTGTGTAGTTCAGTATAAATGGGAAACCTCCTGATGCTTTGCTGACACTAATAAAAGTTCGAAGAGCAGTGGGTGAATATGTAGAGGTAATCATGCAGAAGATAGCAGAGGGAATTGCAGAGGAAAAATCAGAGGTGGTAGACAATTGGTAAGGTCTTGAACGAGGTTGGGTTAAAGTTGACATTGATGGTGCTTCTACCATGTGATTTTTCTCTACCAAAAAACTAAAGAAAAAAACTGTGGTCATTAGGTAAACTGAGGAACATTGACAAACACATCACTAGTTCATCAAAATAATATTCCGAAATAGTCTCTCTGATATGCAATGTCAAAGGAAGTGTCTCCCAGTAGTTTATACATTGGGGAAAACCATAAAGCTGGGGACAAACAGCTTACCTCCTACACTAGTCACCACATTCATGAACCTATGACCAACCGAAGACATAATCAAGAACATAAACAAGCGCCAAAGAAAATGGATAAAGGAGGTACGCAACCAAACATGTCCAAAGCGGGAAAGTAGTGCGGAAACTGGCAAAGGCACCCATCACGATGCAAACAATAAGAATAACTAGCACTTCAGATGAGAAGTCCCATGTCAAACCCCTGATGTAAACAAGTGCCAAGAAAACTGACAGGCAGAGGACGTTATTCATGGTTACTGCCCCATAAAGCTGCATCAAGAAACTTGGAGATGAGAATTTATATACTAGCTAGATAATCAGTCGGATGCTTATCAACATTACTCAGCAAACAGGAGTAACAAGAAACAAACCTCAGAAAATGTTAATGATGCAGTCCTCTTCTTCTTGCGGCTAGCAAAGATAATGGCTGATACAGCTTCGCTAGAGTTGGTAGCCAATGGCAATGCGATGAATGAGATGAAGAAAGATGGAATACTTGTTGCATCAGAAAAATTATCAACTGCGTCTACCAGTGGATCTGCGAATGCAGCTGCAATAAGGGTACCCAGCAGTAACATTAGTACTGCTTTTAAGGAGGTCCATCCAGGGTTTTCAACACCCTCAACAACCTCATCACTTTGTTCCTCCGACCCCAATAAATCATGTTCTCTCTTGGTTTGCTGCACAATAATCCATAAAAGTCAGCCTGTGTAAGTTATATAATCTCTAGAGAAGTCATCAATGCTCAACATACCTGGTGAAAATGATCAATAAACTTAAAGGTTCCATTATTAGGTTCAAGATAAGTACCACCAGTTCGCTTTGCCTCAATAATCCATTTTTCAATACCTCTTACAAACTCCTCCTCTTGAACAAGAGAGTCAAGGGAGGTATCGAAATCTGCCATCACTTTTCTCACAGCATCATCCTTATCCAAGTCTATCTCTTCAAAACGGATTCCAATAATAAATGCTTTCAGCTCAGAAGTTGAAAGACTACCATCATGATTCTCGTCGATTGTCCCAAACAACCTGCCAGATGTTGTTTAGAGAGTAGCAAATGTTAGAATACTTGAAAAGTGGCAAAGAAACACCAGCAGAAGAAGCAAGTTTTTCTTGATTGTCAAAATTCAAAACTGACTTTCTTATAATATCTGTATTGGGATCACCGTTGTCATCAAGAAGTTTTCCTAAAGCAGTCTTTTTCAAGTGTCTTAAGATTCCTGATATGACATGTTTATGCTTTGCAAAAGCAAGTCGCCTTCTCTGTATCCAAGGCTGAAAGACCTGCAAAATATAATATATATATATACACACATCAAAAGAAAGGCGGCTATCGGAAGAACAAACATTTCATGAAGCTAATATCAATAAATTTAAAGAAAAAGGTCAGCTGATTATTCAGGACAGTATTAGACAGAACAACCACACTTTACTATTAGAAGATTCCAAACCTCACATTCAACATCTAGACAACTAAAGACATGCAATGAAAAGTCTACAGCTCGGCAGACATAAGACTTCCCTACCCGATAAACACATTTCAACCATGCAATAAGACATAATTTTCAGATTTTATTTTCTTGTTCATGACTGGGTTT